TTGAGGACCCCTGGTGTATATGATGCCCTTGTGATATTGCATGCTATTATTTTGAAAGTAAAATATTATTCCCTTATGTAAAACCTTCTTGGGCTCCATCTAATACTACCATATAAGCCAGTTTCTGAATGCAGATGATCTGCTTTGAACTGGATAATATGAATAGACAGTGCATATAATCCAGTTTAAAGCAGATCATCTGCATTCAGAAACTAGAGTGTATGACAGTGTAGATGGAGCCTTAGTTTCACTAATCTTACAGCTAAAGATTGTTTAACTGAACCAAGTCCAATATTTTTGAAAATAAATCATGGGTAAGAAACATCAGAAAACGGTATTTGACACACACCCCTCTGCCCATTATGTAGTGGCATAATGTACCTGGATTTTCTACAAGGTTTAAAAAAATCTGCTTCAGCCTAGCAACTAGCTATTCAATAAAAATAGCAAAATCCTTAACAGAAGACTGGAGGCAAGAATGGGACAGAAAACAGCAGTTTTGCTATACCAGTTTTAATGCCCAAGATGATACACTTTAGCAACAGCACAATTAACACGTATCTCAAAATATATTAATGGATTCATATATTGATAAACTCTCATTATTACATAAATATTAGCCTCATAGAAACATAGACATTATTACCTTTCTTATATAATACCTGTGCTATACCTTCCACAACTTCCTTTTAACACCACTCAATAAGGCCTGGAGATTGATGCCCAACTGGGAATAAATCTCCATGTGGGAATGTAATCAAAGAATCATAAAGTTGGATGGGATTGCAAGGCCCATCTAGTCTAACCCTTTGCCATTTAGTAATACTCAGGCTGGATCTACACTGCGCTATATCCCAGGATCTGATCCCAGATTATCTTCTTTGAACTGGATTATATGAGTCTCCACCAGAGGCGGCCCTAGGTAATTTTCAACGGGTAAGCAAACAGTATTTTGGTGCCCCTCACCCCCAACCAATCATCGATATATATTTTCTGTTCGTCATGGGAGTTCTGTGTGCCATATTTGGTTCAATTCCATCATTGGTGGAGTTCAGAATGCTCTTTGATTTTAGGTGAACTATACATCCCAGTAACTACAACTTGCATATGTCAAGGTCTATTTTCCCCCAAGAGCGCCTCAAGAGCGCCCCTGGGCAAAATCAACTATTCTGCGAATGCTTACTTTGCGTAATGGGTTGAGCCGCCCCTGGTCTCCACTGCCACATAATTTAGGGGAAAGAGATAATCTGGGATCAGATCCTGGGATATAGAGCAGTGTAGAAGGGGCCTCAAATAATCCAGTTCAAAGCAGATAATCTGGGATATCTGTTTTGATAATTTGGATTGTATGGCAGTGTAGATCCAGTCACAGTTTAAGCACTCCCAAATGATGACCATCCAACCTCTGTTTAAAGACCTCCAAAGAAGGAAAGTCTACCTGAAGTAGTATGTTCCACAATGCAGTTTAACTGCAATTGAGTCAAAGTATGTGAGTCTACACTGACCATATAATGCAGTTTCAAGTCTACCTGAGATAGTCTGTTCCACAATAGGAAGAGCTCTTATCATCTGGTTGTTACTCCAAATATTTAGGAGGAATTCTATGATTTTCCTGTTATTTGAACCCATGGGTTTGTTCCCTATGACTTCATGAAAACTTTTGACATATTTAAGATATCTTTCATATTTACTCAGCTGATTTCCAGTTTTTCAGTCTTACAGTTCATTGAAATTCTGCTAAAGACATTTTATGAGACAATGCAGTTACCATCAACAAATACTTCCAGCCATTTTGTGATTTTGTGATGAAAGGCCACAAAGGATCTGCTCACTGATTAACCAGTCATACAATAGTAAGCCTGTGAATGTACTATTATACTTGAAAAACTCTGCCAACAACAATTTAATTTCAAAACAGACACATTTTACAATGAATGGTTTTGGTTTTTAGCATGAGTACATTAGTGCGGCAGTTTAACTATCTGCCAAACTGCATTACACGGAGCAAACTTTGGCCATATCATGTCACATTCAACAAGGCCACCCTTTTTTTTCTTTCAAAGGCAGCTACAATTCAGAAACTTCACAATCATTGTTTCCCACCTCCCCCATTTCTCCAGTTTGGATATGCAGTGACAGGAACAATTACAGCTACTGGATTTGTCTGCCAGTGGATCTATAAAGGCCTGTAAAATATGACATTTGGCCCAAACTGCACATCATATTAAATGTGTGATTTACAGCAACCCGAAGATTTGTTATTAAACATTAAAACCAAGCACAATGAATCAGAAGCCTGGTCTGCACTGTAGCAACACCGCACAAAAAGGGGGGATCTTACCTTTCCCTTTTTTTCACTTTGATTTGGGGTGTGGGGGGTTCTACCTGAGCTGCCTCCCACTGGTTCCACTTTCTATCTGTGTGCATTTTTTTCAGGATTGAAGTAAAGAAGGAAAATGTTAAAATACTCTCTCCTTGTGCATCTTCCACAGTCTAATTCAAGGAAAGCTCTGGCACTACTGCAGGTAACACATTACAACTCACAGGTAGTTAGGTTTCAGAGGTGGGAACCAGGGATGACACTTTACAACAGCACTCAATACTTTACTAGAATACAGAGAGACTATTATATACAGAGAAGGCACACAGACTTGAGATATTCAAATTGCCGGAGACTTTTAGAGATGTAGCCTGGAGAAGCAATTCTTTAACTTTCTCTTATAGCAGCATTTCTCAACCTGGGGATCGGACCCCTGGAGGGGTCGCCAGGGGGTGTCAGAGGGGTCGCCAAAGACAATCAGAAAACACAGTGTGTTCTGTTGGTCATGGGGGTTCTGTGTGGAAGTTTGGCCAATTCTATGTTGGTGGAGTTCAGAATGCTCTTTGATTGTAGGTGAACTATAAATCCCAGTAACTACGACTCCCAAATGTCAAGGTCTATTTTCCCCAAACTCCACCAGTGTTTACATTTGGGCATATTGAGTATTCGTGCCAAGTTTGGTCCAGATCCATCATTGTTTGAGTCCACACTGCTCTCTGGATGTAGGTGAACTACAACTCTAAAACTCAAGGTCAGTGCCCACCAAACTCTTCTAGTATTTTCTGTTGGTCATGGGAGTTCTGTGTGCTAAAATTGTTTCAATTACATCATTGGTGGAGTTCAGAATGCTCTTTGATTGTAGGTGGACCATAAATCCCGGCAACTACAACTCCCAAATGACAAAACTCAACTACAAATTTCAAATGCCAAATTTGGTCCAGTGGATGAAAATACATCCTGCATATCAGATATCTACATTACGACTTGTAACAGTAGCAAAATTACAGTAATGAAGTAGCAACAAAAATAATGTTGTGATTGGGGGTCACCACAACATGAGGAACAGTATTAAGGGGTCGCAACATTAGGAAGGTTGAGAACCACTGTCTTATAGCCCCATCACACGAGGCAAATTACACATCCTTGGATGTGTCTGGAGCACTTCCTCCTCGCCAGACACCATGTCACGACTTATAGCGACTTCTGGTGGGGCCTGTGAAGAAAGTGTTCCTAAAGCAGCACAGGAGGCTTGCTGTGTTCCTTAGAAAACTACGGGGTCAAGTCACGGTAGCAGTACTTCCTCATGTGGGATGGGGAAGCATCAGCTGTAGGCGAGGCGGGACACCGAGATTGTTCCACTGCCCTGCTGATTCTCCATGGGTGGTGGCAAAATGCCTTGCGGGACCTCATCCATGTGATGAGGTCCTAAATAATAATTAGCTATTTCACTTACACAGGAGCTTCATGAATACATTTGTAATCATGGTGTTCACCAGGATAGGTAGGCTATCAACAACTCCAAATTTTCCAGATGGTTTAGATCTGTGATGGCGAACCTATGACACGTGTGTCAGCACTGACACGCATAGCCATTTTCGATGACACGTGGCCACATACACAGGAGAATGGGGTCGCATCCCGAGAAGGACATTTCATCCTCGGCTCCTGCACCAGCATTTTTCTATAACGCTGAGATATATGGCATTTTAGAAAAAATAAGATAAGTTAAATAATTAGTTTTTTGGTTTATTAAATACAGTTATATTACAATAATATATTTTTGTTATAATTTTTTTTCTCAAAGTGACACCCCACCTGAGTTATGCTCAGTTTTTTGGCACATTTTGACAACCCAAGCTCAAAAGGTTGCCCATCACTTAGATTGTACAAACTTGACCACAAAAGTCTATCTATCTAAGTAGACTTACAGTTCCAAAACTTAGGCACAAGGAGGCCCTGTTCTCGATCCCATCACCCTCACAAACATGATTGGCGGGAATGAGAGACAGGGCCTTCTCGGTGGTGCCCCCCGACTATGGAATGCACTCCCCAGTGAAATCACGGTGACTCTCTCTCTCCTGTCCTTTAGAAAACAGCTTAAATCTTGGTTTTGGGACCAAGCATTCAGGCAGCTGACCGAGCAGCAACTGCAATGATTTATGAGAACTGTCAATGAATAGACCTTGAACTTGAACTCTGGATTACGATTTGGATTTGGGGACTAAGGCTTGGTTGTGTTTTAACACTTAATGGTCAACATTTTAATATATTTTTATAATCTTGTTGGTTTATTTAATGTTACTTATTTGTACTGCAATCGTTTGTTTGTTGGCATCTAATGATTGCCAGTTGCAAGCCACCCTAAAGTCCCCCTTCGGGGGTTGAGAAGGACAGGATATACTTGTTCTAAATAAATAAATAAATAAATAAACTGGATAGAGCTAAGATAAAAGCATTCAGTGAGGCTTTTGTATGAAAAGAAATGGAGGATCTGAGGAGAAATGTGATAAGAAAAAACATTTTCAATAGTAGACTCATAGAATGTAGTTCAGTGCAGTTCAATCTACATTATATGAGTCCACACTGATCATCTAATGCAGTTCAAACTACATTATATGGAAGTGTAGACGGGGCCTAGATAAACTCAAGGAGGGAGATTTCTCAAGACATATTAGTTAAATGGTATAGCCCAGTTTGGACCATTATACCTTGACATACAAAGTGCTAGAAACAATCATATTTATGGCTTACTAGCCGTTCCCTGCCACGCGTTGCTGTAGCCCACTCTAGTGGTCATGGGGGTTCTGCGTGGGAGGTTTGCTCAATTCTATCGTTGGTGGGATTCAGAATGCTCTTTGATTGTAGGTGAACTACAAATCCCAGCAACTACAACTCCCAAATATCAAGATTCTATTTTCCCCAAACTCCACCAGTGTTCAGCTTTGGGCATATTGAGTATTTGTATAGAGTTTGGTCCAGATCCATCATTGTTTGAGTCCACAGTGCTTTCTGGATGTAGGTGAACTACAACTCCCAAACCAAAGGACACTGCCCACCAAACCCTTCCAGTATTTTCTGTTGGTCATGGGAGTTCTGTGTGCCAAGTTTGGTTCAATTCCATCATTGGTGGGGTTCAGAATGCTCTTTGATTGTTGGTGAACTACAAATCCCAGCAACTACAACTCCCAAATGACAAAATCAATTTTTTGAGTGAAGGACATACATTGGATTGTTAGGTGTCTTGTGAACAAATTTGGTGTCAATTCATTTAGTGGTTTTTGAGTTCTGTGAATATCACAAACGAACATTACATTTTTATTTATATAGATTCAGGACCTACCTGAAACATTTAGGTGACTACTGTTAGGGCCCTTCCACACAGCTGAATAAAATCTCACCTTTTCTGCTTTGAACTGGAATATATGGCAGTGTGGACTCAGAAAACCCAGTTCAAAGCACATATTGTGACATTTTCTACCTTGATATTCTGGATTATATGGCTGTTTGGAAGGGCTCTTAGAAAGCAGATGATAGGGTTGTCAAGCCCTGATTCAGCAAATCAGTTATTGGGTTCCAATCTATATAATTTTTGGTCTTGATTACAACATACCATTGATACTGGTTGTTTTGTAAGTGTTAGGATATAGAAGAACATATAATATTACCACAATTTGTCTCTTATCATTCTTTAAATCTTCAACTGAATCAAATCATTTTCTTCTTCCACTACTCCTACTCTTTCTGCCCATTCAAAAGTTCATTTGCTAAATCCACAATGTGTTTCCAGGCAAACTGGACATGGGCAGACTCCACTGTGCGGGCACAAATCGCAAAGCGTAGCACAAATTTCTCTCTCAGGTGGCATGGGACAAGATGAATCCGTCGTGCGTTGTTTATGCTTTTAAGAAGTGCTTCGTTAAGTCTGTTAGAACCCTAGAATGACAAAAAAAACCAGTAATGACCACTAATATCCTCTAAGTAGTTCTAGCAATTATACTAAAGACAGTCTTTAGGGAATAATAATAATAATAATAATAATAATAATAATAATAATACTTTATTTGTACCCTGCTACCATCTCCCCAAGGGACTCGGTGTGGCTTACATGAGGCCGAGCCCGAATACAACAATACAAGCAAAACAACAACAGTACAGACAATTAAAATAAAAAACATAAACGATAAAATATACAACATTATCGATAAGACAACACGCAATTAAAAACAGTGGGAAGGCCAAATGTAAAGTTAAAATGGAAATAATGCTGGAACATGGATGAAAGGTGATAGTGGCGTTTGTGGAAGGGCATACGAGCAGATCTAAAAAATGTAAAGTGCTTTGGAGAACAAAGTGCTATGGGATCATTATTGCGGGAAGGCACACTGGAACAACCACGTCTTCAAGCTCTTCCTAAAGACTGCCAATGTCGGGGCTTGTCTGATGTCCTTGGGGAGTGAGTTCCAGAGTCGAGGGGCCACCACCAAAAAGGCCCTCTCTCTCATCCCCACCAACCGCGCCTGCGATGCTGGTGGGATCGAGAGCAGGGTCTCCCCGGATGACCGAAGGGATTGTGTGGGTTCGTATACAGAGATGCGGTCATGCAGGTAGGTGAGTCCCAAACCGTTCAGGACTGCATCTTGAATTGGGTCCAGTAAATGAATGGTAGCCAGTGGAGCTCCTTGAACAGGAGGGTTGACCGCTCCCTGTAAGGCACTCCAGTTAACAACCTGGCCGCCGCCTGTTGGATCCTCTGAAATTTATGGGCCGTTTTCAAGGGCAGCCCTACGTAGAGTGCATTGCAGTAATCCAGTCTAGAGGTGACTAAGGCGTGGACCACCTTGGCCAGATCCGCCTTCCCGAGGTACGGTCGCAGTTGGCGCACGAGTCTTAATTGTGCAAAGGCCCTCCCGGCCACCACCGACGCCTGAGCCTCAAGCGTAAGTGAAGAATCCAGGAGGACCCCCTGAAGAGGTGAACCACTGCCCTGGGGGGGCTCACTTCCATTTTCAACTCGGCCCCTATGGAGAGGTAAATATTTTCTTTGTCCTAATATACCCAATAGAATCCCCTCCCTCCAAATCATCACCATGTTTTTGTTTTCTTTGCTCTCTCTCACGTTCTGCTGTTCTCAGAGAGAGAGCATAAAAGCCCAAAATGAATAGAAATGTAACAAAATGAATAGAAATGTAATAAAAAATTTACATTCAAAAATTAAATGGAGGCTCTTTACATGCAATTCAGGTCTACTGAGGGCCCTCCTACACAAACCTAAAGCCCATGATTGCTTCCAGATTAGCCTGAGGCGTCCACATGATGCCTCAGGCTAATCTGTTTTAACCCAGGGTAAACCTGGATTTTCAGGTCTGCTTTGGGTTAAAAAAAACACACACGTGCAAAGATCTAGACCTTTCAATAAGGTCCAAATTTTTGCAGTTGTGGGGCCTGTGGAGATTGACTCTCAGGATCGCCTCCTGGAAGTCATTCCCCACTGTTATCCCACTTTTTGTGCTCCAGCAGCCCAAGAGATCCGGATGGCACTGCCACCCTCCTCAACTACGTTTCTGTGATTATTCCTTGCTATTTATGCACAATGCAGCATGATCTAATGGTTCGAACAAATCTTGCAAAGAAAACTCTGTGATAGATTTCCCTTAAAGTCAACTGTAATGAATCCCTTACCTCGGCAGGCTATCTTAGGCCTAGGAGAGTGGGCCTGGTGAAGCCACGGCATCCATTTTAGAGAAGGGAGATAGGGAGATGCCATCTTAGGTTAGGTTTGCTTAAGGGGGTGTGTTCTAGTCTTGGAGGGAAAGTTAGACCACTAGGATTGGTTAGAAAGATGGGGGCAGAGCCTAAGTGATCTGAAGGAAAAAAGTGACTTTTAAACTGAGGCTTGAGTTGTCAGATTGCCAGTTTGGAGTTGAGAGTTGGAGCTTGGAAAGGGTGTTAGTGAGAGCAGTTTGGGGTTTTGAAGGAGAACTTTGGGTCAGTCTTTTGTTTAGTATTCCGGATAGCTATAGAGAAATATAGCTAGAATGCTGTGGGGAGCAGCACCCCATTAATGGTCTGTTCTTTTCCTTAAGGAAGGCTAGTTCAGGTTTTGGCTAGTTTCCTAAGGGGGATTTTTGTGAGAGTTACTTTCAGAGTTCATTTCCTGAAGTAATTTTCTGTGTGGAAACTTTAAGACTTGTAACCCAGAAGTTTTTAAGATCTCTTCTCAAACGTAACCATCAAGTATTTGTACCTGAAATATCCAAGACTGTTCAATAAAAGTTCTTGTTATTTTTACCAACTTATACCAGCCTCAGTGTGAATACCTTTGTGTTAAAAGGTTATTCAAGTCAGCTTTTTATCAGTCTCTAAGAAAACTAGAGTAACACAGAGTGTGTTACTGAACAGCCTCTCAATAGTACCTCAGCCTGTTCTTTAGTAATATGGTGGCAGCGGAAACCTTTTAAAGAATTATTTTAAGTCTCACGGTTCCAATGGTTCCCAGTTCCTAGCTTCTAAATATTCTGTTGGTTCAACAACTATTCTCCCTCTATATTTTTGATGAGCTAATCTGGTGTCATCATTATAATTTGGTAGGCTGCTGTGAGGTCGTTATAATTTTAGTGAAGCTGCGTTGGGACTTTTATTATCGAATAGAGTTCCCTACTTTTCCCCACGGATCGTTATAATTTGAAGGAGCAGCGGTGTGATCATTATAATTTGGTGGTACAGTGGTGCTTGAAGGCAAACAACATCATCCAATGAACCAGTGGTTTTCAAATATTTTGCTTACAAGAAAAATGGATCTATCCCATTTTCCTAACAGCTCTTAATACTATGCCAAGGTTCTCCAGAGTGAAATTCCTCTGGCAGCCCTTTGAGGTTTTTTCCCTACCCCACAGGTAAACTCACTATGTGTCATACAATGCATGTATCTAAAATACTACTAGAATGGGTTGGTAATGGTATACGTTTCAAACTAGGTTTCAGTTAACTTCAGGAATCCTTGGAAATCAGTTTGAAGAAAAGATAAAGTTATAGACAACTCCCACATCTCAGGATCTGAAATAATCCCACTATGGGAAAACAAATTGTAATTTCTATTTAGGACAACTATTAGAATAACACTGAATTGTATTGTCCCTGTTTGATAAGAGCCTGGACACATTTGCTAGCCATCTTCATGATAAATTTATTCCTGTAAGATTTACCTTTTCCGATCCAGTAACAGCTGTTTGTCACTGCTCTCTGTGCGGCGTGATGAAGCACTTATAGTGAAATGGAGCAGAGCAACATAAGGATTGTCACATTGGATCAAATCACTGGTCCATCTAAGATCTATTTCCTCTCCAAGTTCTCTCAAAGGATTTTCTTTTTGCTAAACTTTCTAAATTAAATGAATTATTTGTTTATACAGTTATATACAACATGCCAGTAAGGTAATGCTCAAGATCCTGCAAGGAAGACTCCAGCAATACATGGAGCGAGAGTTGCCAGATGTTCAAGCTGGGTTTAGAAAAGGCAGAGGAACGAGAGACCAAATTGCCAATATCCGCTGGATAATGGAGAAAGGCAGGGAGTTTCAGAAAAACATCTACTTCTGCTTCATTGCCTATTCTAAAGCCTTTGACTGTGTGGATCATAATAAATTGTGGCAAGTTCTTAGTGGGATGGGCATCCCAAGCCACCTTGTCTCTCTCCTGAGGAATCTGTACAAGGACCAAGTAGCAACAGTCAGAACTGACCACGGAACAACAGACTGGGAAAGGCGTACGGCAAGGCTGCATACTCTCACCCAACCTTTTTAACTTGTATGTAGAACACATCATGCAATGTGCGGGGATTGATGAATGCAAAGCTGGGGTGAAAATTGCTGGAAGAAACATTAACAACCTCAGATATGCAGATGACACCACTCTGATGGCCGAAAGCGAGGAGGAGCTGAGGAGCCTTCTAATCAAGGTGAAAGAAGAAAGCGCAAAAGCCGGGTTGCAGCTAAACGTCAAAAAAACCAAGATTATGGCAACAAGAATGATTGACAACTGGAAAATAGAGGGAGAAACCGTGGAGGCCGTGACAGACTTTGTATTTCTAGGTGCAAAGATTACTGCAGATGCAGACTGGAGCCAGGAAATCAGAAGACGCTTACTTCTTGGGAGGAGAGCAATGTCCAGTCTCGATAAAATAGTGAAGAGTAGAGACATCAGACTGGTAACAAAGATCCGCCTAGTCAAAGCCATGGTATTCCCTGTAGTCACCTACGGATGTGAGAGCTGGACCTTAGGGAAGGCTGAGCGAAGGAAGATCAATGCTTTTGAGCTGTGGTGTTGGAGGAAAGTGCTGAGAGTGCCTTGGACTGCGAGAAGATCCAACCAGTCCATCCTCCAGGAAATAAAGCCCAACTGCTCACTGGAGGGAAAGATACTAGAGACAAAGTTGAAGTACTTTGGCCACATCATGAGGAGACAGGAAAGCCTAGAGAAGACAATTATGCTGGGGAAAGTGGAAGGCAAAAGGAAGAGGGGCCGACCAAGGGCAAGATGGATGGATGGCATCCTTGAAGTGACTGACCTTGAGGGAGCTGGGGGTGGTAACGGCCGACAGGGAGCTCTGGCGTAGGCTGGTCCATGAGGTCACGAAGAGTCGGAGACGACTGAACGAATGAACAACAACAACATACAACATGCTTACTCTGTTGTGCTGTGGCATTGCTGTTGTGTTTGTTAACTGCCATGATGTTCATTTTGACTTACAACAGCCCTATGAGTGGGGGACCTCCAAGTCATTTCATCATCAATAGCCCTACTCAGGTCTTGTAAACTCCAGAGGCTTCCTTAATTGAATCTGTAATGCAATTTTCCTCTTTTCCTACTGTTGTCAACTTATGCGTTTGCGATAATGGTGGGATCAAGAGCAGGACCTCTCTTTTTTTAAAAAAAATATTTTTATTGGGTTTTTGTTAAAGAAAGTTGTGTTTACAGGGAAAGAAGGGGGATATTGTGTAAGTAATAGAAAAGTAGGAACTAGAAAAAATCAGAAAAAAGAGAAATAAAAAAAATTAAAAAAATCTGTGCTTTCAAGCTCTTCCCAATCTGGGTGTTATTTTCTTCTTATAGGTTCCTTTCTGTAGACTTTTTCTCCTAGAGTCTTATTAGATTATTAATATTCTCTTCTCTTTTTCCATATACTCTCAAAAAAGTTGCCAGTTTTTCTCAATGGTTTCTCATAATGTGTCTTTAGAAGTTGGCTCAGTTCATCCATGTTCGTTATTTCCATAATTTTCATTAACCATTGTTCCTTTGAAAGAGTTTCTTTGTGTTTCCACATTCTTGCATATGTTATTCTTGCTGCCGTCATGAAGTAATTGAAGAGCACTTCTTTGTTATATTCTATTTTTAGGTCTATGAAATTCAGTAAGAAATATTCTGGTTTCATATTGAATTTAATGTTTAAGATTTTCTGTATTTCTTCATGGATTATTTTCCAATATTTCTTGGCTTTATCACACAGCCACCACATATGGTAGAAGGTTCCTTCTTGACATTCACACTTCCAACAGTTATTATTTAAACTCTTATAGTATTTACTTAATTTGGATGGTGTTATGTACAATCGGTACATCATTTTGAACAAGTTTTCTTTTAGGTCATATGAATAAGTTTGTTTGATTCTGTTATTCCAGCTTTTCCCCCACTCCTCTAATTTTATTGATCTTCCAAAGTTAGTGACCCATTTTATCATACAGTCTTTTATTAAATCCCTCTGTCGACCACTCCAATAATTTCTTGTATATTGTCGCTATTGTTTTGTTTTCCGATTTCATTATTTTATCCCAGAAATTTTCTCTTTACAAAAATCCTATTAGTTTATCCTTATTGTAGTACTCCTTTAATTGTCTATATTGAAGCCAAGAGAGGTTTCTGAATCTTTGTTTTAATTCTTCATGTTTTTATTTCAAAAGTGTCTTTTCCTTTTATTAATGTTAAGTCGGCTATTCTTCTTCAAGGACCTCTCTTGAAGATCTTAAACTTCGTGATGGTTCATGGGATGAGATATGTTGGGACAGGTAGTCTGGGCCAGAACCATTTAGGGCAGTGGTTCTCAACCTTCCTAATGCCGCAGCAGTGCCTCACGTTGTGGTGACCCCCAACCATAAAATTATTATTATTGCTACTTCCTAACTGTAATTGTGTTACTGTTATGAATCATAATGTAAAAATCTGAAAGGCAGGATGTATTTTCATTCACTGGACCAAATTTGGCACAAATACCCAACAACAGCACTCCATGCCGTCATGCCAGCCACATGACCTTGGAGGTGTCTATAGACAACACCGGTTCTTTGGCCTAGAAATTGAGCACCAACTCCCAGAGTTGGACACGACTGGACTTAATGTAGCCCTTGCCTGCTCCGCACCCCTGCCAGCCAGCGGGAGAGCAATGCAGGCAAGGGGTGCCTGGTGCAAGGCCTTGCGCCAAAGGGCCCTCACCTGCTCTGCACCCCTGCCTGCAATGCAGGTGAGGGGCGCCCACGGAACTACTCACCCGTCGCTTGCCTCCTTCTGCCATCAGAAGGAGGCGAGGGATGGGCGGATGGCTTCGTGCGTGGGAGTGCCAGTGGCTCAGGGGGTCGGCCGCCATTTTGGAGGGGGCGCGGCCAGCCAATGTTGCTTCGCGACCCCCAGAAAATGGCCGAACAACCCCCCGAGGGGTCGCGACCCCCAGGTTGAGAACCACTGGTTTAGGGCTTTAAAGATGAAAACCAGCACTTTGAATTGTGCTCAGAAGCTGATCAGCAGCCAGTGGAGTTGGTGTAACAAAGGAGTTGAATGTTCCCTGTACGTCGCTCCGGTGAGAAACCTGTCTGTCGACCATTGGACTAGATGAAGGCAGCCCTACGTAGAGTGCATTGCAGTAGTCTATACGGGATGTAACAAGAGCCTGGACCACCGTGGCCAAGTCAGACTTCTCAAGGAATGGGTGCAGTTGGTGCAAAAGCTCTCCCGGCCACCGCCAACACCTGGGGTTCCAAGCTCAGCGATGAGTCCAGGATCACTTTCAAACTGTGAACCTGCATCTCCAGGGGGAATGTAACCCCATCTAACACAGGCTGTAACTCTATCCCCTGTTCGGCCTTTCGACTGACCAGGAGTACCTCTGTCTTGTCTGGATTTAGTTTCAATCTGTTCACCCTTTTAGGGTATTTAAGCACTGTTAATGTTGCTTGGAGTAAAAAAAAAAAGAAGAAGGTGATTATGTACAACAAAAGATGTAAGCATTTGAAACAACTAAATGTTTACCTTAAGTCGGAAGCACACCAGCCCCATTATGACATCAGCACAAATCTCAAATCGGTCATCTTGAAGCACTAGGTCCTTAAATTCATGTGCCAGCTTAATATGCTAAAAATAAACAGTTATGTAATACATTATATCTTTTCTCATGAGAAGATAAAATCAAATTTTAGACCTATTTAAAATGCTAGTTAGTCCTAAAACACTAAAAGTTAAATATATGTATCAAGGAAGCAACTTTAACACATTGATAGTTAATGTAGAACTCTAGAACTGGTGGCAGAATCACAGAATTATAGAGTTGGAAGAGTCCACAAGGGGATCCAGTCGAACCCCCTGCCATGCAGGAACACCTATTCCAAGCACTTCTGGAAGACAAGTATCCAGCCTCTTAGTGGCAAATCAATAAATTGAAAAAAATCAGTTTTTCAAATTTAGAAACATTTCTTGGAGATGATTCCTATTCTGATGAAACAACTGATTGATTTATTGTCGAAGGCTTTCATGGTTGGAATCACTGGGTTGTTGTATGTTTTTCGGGCTATATAGCCATGGTCTAGAGGCATTCTCTCCTCTATGGCAAGCATTCTCAGAGGTAGTGAGGTCTGTTCGAACTAGGAAAAATGGTTTATATATCTGTGGAATGACCAGGGTGAGACAAAGGACTTGTCTGCTGGAGCTAGGTGTGAATGTTTCAACTGACCACCTTGATTATAATGGCCTTACATTGCCTAGAGCAAACTTTTGTTAAGAGGTGATTAGATGTCCTTGTTTGTTTCCTCTCTGTTGTTGTGCTGTTGTAATTTTAGAGTTTTTTAATACTGGTAGCCAGATTTTGTTCATTTTCATGGTTTCCTCCTTTCTGTTGAAATTGTCCACATGCTTGTGTATTTCAATGGCTTCTCTGTGTAGCCTGACATGGTGGTTGTGAGAGTGGTCCAGCATTTCTGTGTTCTCAAATAATATGCTGTGTCCAGGTTGGTTCATCAGGTGCTCTGCTATGGCTGACTTCTCTGGTTGAAGTAGTCTGCAGTGCCTTTCATGTTCCTTGATTCGTGTTGGGCAATGCTGCGTTTGGTGGTCCCTATGTAGACTTGTCCACAGCTGCATGGTATACGGTAGACTCCTGCAGAGGTGAGAGGATCCCTCTTGTCCTTTGCTGAACGTAGCATTTGTTGGATTGTCTTGGTGGGTTTGTAGATTGTTTGTATGTTGTGTTTCCTCATCAGCTTCCCTATGCGGTCAGTGGTTCCATTGATGTATGGCAGGAACACTTTTCCTCTGGGTGGATCTTCATCTTGACTCTCGTGGCTTGTTCTTGGTCTTGCAGCTCTTCTAAAAACAAGGATATCTAATCACCTCTCAACAAAAGTTTGCTCTAGGCACTGTCAGGCCATTATATGCTAATCAAGGTGGTCAGTTGAAACATGCACACCTAGCTCCAGCAGACAAGAGTCCTTTGTCTCACCCTGGTCATTCCACAGATATATAAACCCTTTTTCCTAGTTCCAACAGACCTCACTACCTCTGAGGATGCTTGCCATAGATGCAGGCGAAACGTCAGGAGAGAATGCCTCTAGACCATGGCCATATAGCCCGAAAAAACCTACAACAACCCAACTAATTGATTACCGATACAGTTAGTTCTTTACATAAAAGCCTTCTTAAATTGTACACTGATAGTTTTAAAAAGTGACCAAAAATCCTCCTCCCATGACTACTAATTCCTCAAGATTTCTGTGATTTATTTCTTTAAAACAATATTTGTCATCTCTGTTTGGTTTGGTGGCCTGTAGAAGATCCCTACCAGAATGTTGTTTAGTTCATTTGTTTTTACCCAAATGCTCTCTCTTGAATCTTTGCCTGATAATGCTGAAAACTAAAAATTATGTAGTGCTTAGATGTAACCACAAGAGAGCAGTGTATACATAGAAAAGATAAGCTACTGGCAGAAATAAACAACAGCCTTCGGAACAGGGCTTCTTAAAACTTTTCCCACTAAGGAACTCTTTCAACAACATAATTTTGTTGTGATCACTTTCCACCTAAATTTTATACAACCCAGGTATATAGGTATAAAAGTATAAAATATGAATAAAAATCAGATTTACGGATAATAAATCAGCACTTACAAGGCCCTGCCCAACAGGCTAAGCTATTATGCATGCCATTCTCACTAATATACACATATTTGTGCTCATTATTTGTTGAAGAACCTCATTACAAAATTCAGAAAAAAGCAGTTTTTTTTAGAAGTATTATTTTACTGCACAGAAAATGCTTCCTGTGCAGAATTATTTAATATGTAAAAAGGCCATGCCTAAATGTTATGGAGAGTAAGTTCCTAATTCTAGTATTTTCTCAGGAACAGCGTTTTCTCTGCATAGAAATAATAATTCTGTGCAGAAATAATTATTTCACAGAAAATGCTGTTTTCAGCACAAAACAACCACATACAAAATTTTCATAGTTAACTTCCAAAATGTAAAGATTTTCATCTGCCTAGGATTTTTCTCATCAGAATTCCTTAACACTAGAGAAATCTATTTTTCAATCATTTCATAAATACTCTTCCCATTTCTAATTTGTTGTTAAAACAAAATGTTTTCACCTTCCGGATGTATTCTTGTAGACCCTTCACACCATACATTCGAAGTACAAACCACAGTTTCAATGAACGAAATCGTCGTCCCAGAGGGATCTGCCAGTGCTGTGGATAAATAAAAATAAATAAAAAATAATATAAATCACAATGTGAAACTGTATGTGGATTTTCAGGCTTCTTGGAAACCGTGAACATTAGAATTATTTTTAAATTTATTTATTTATTTACAGTATTTTAGGTCTCATCCCTGGGGGAACTCGAAACTGTTTATACATAAATAATGGCAAGATTCAGTGCCTTACGTTGGGCACCGATATGATGCCAATACAAACAATTACAATAGTAAAACCACAACCACAACCTGTCCGAATGTATCTCTTTCTATGTCCCACCTCGGAATTTAAGATCTGCTGGGGAGGCCCTGCTCTTGGCCCCACCTTTATTTATCACAAGTGAGACTGGTGGGGACGAGGGATAGGGCCTTCTCGGTGGTGGCCCCTCGCCTGTGGAATGCACTCCCCGGGGAGATTAGGTTGTCAACATCCCTCCTCTCTTTCAGAAGGAAGCTAAAAACCTGGATGTGGGAGCAGGCCTTCGGGTAAGCTGGCAGATGGACAAAGACAACCAATGATGACCAGAGTAGGAAAGGACAATGACGATGCTAGATGGATTACGGATTATGAATTGGCGAACATTGACCACAAGATGATTTTATTGCTGCTATTGTACTGTTTTGATTGTTTTAACTAGTTATAACTGTTGATATTATATGGTAAATTTGTGTATTGTATTTTGTGAATTGTTAGGCATCGAATTGTGCCTTTTGTAAGCCGCCCTGAGTCCCTCCTAGGGGGTTGAGAAGGGCGGGGTAGAAGCACTCCAAATAAATAAATAAATAAATAAATAAATAAATAAATAAATAAAACCACAATTAAACATAAATCATAATTAAAACAACACATCAACAAGAATTGAAACAATAAAACAGTCTTGTCAGTCGAATCTCCATTCCAGTCAATGTCACTCTAAAATGCTACATACATCTGCTGTCCGAAGGCCTGGTCCCAGAACCATGAATTTTTTTTTCTAAAAGCCAGGAGGGAGGGAGTGGATCTTACCTGATTTGGGAGTGTGTTCCAAAGGCGGGGGGCCACAGCCAAGAAAGCCCTGTCTCTCGTCGCTGCCAGACGCATTTGTGCTGTTGTTGGGAGCGAGAGCAGGACCTCCCCCGATGATTTTAGATTACAAGGTGGGATGTAGGGGTGGATGCGTTCGGACAAGTAAGCTGGGCCAGAACCTTATAGAGGTTTATAGGTCAAAACCAGCACTTTGAATTGGGCTCGGAGATGGACCGGCAGCCAGTGGAGCTGGCATAGCAGGGGGGTGGTATGCTCCCTGTATGTCACCCTGGTTAGTAATCTGGCTGCTGCCCATTAAAAACACTGAAACTGTCAAGAAAGCAAATGTTTTGTTCTTAGGACAAAGCAGAAAGTAGCTTTGACACTAACTGAGAAAAAGACATTTGTAGCATAAACTTTCATAGTCTGGTTCTATTTCCTCAAAAGCATGGAGTGAAGTGTGTATTGAGAGACATTTATTTATACCCATGAAAGAGCAGCTGGATGTGTGTGACCAGAAACAGAAACGCAAAATCTGTGAGTACAGAGATGTGGTAATAAATTTGGTCCAGGTCATTGGTGGACAAAGGTGGGAGGAAAGATACAGCCCAAATAGAAAGCCCTAACGAACGCTTCCTAACCTGTCTCTGCTGTCTTGTTCATAATTTTCCCTTAATACTGTAAAAAAACCCAATATTTTCAATTTCTTTTGTTCTTTTAAATAGTCGATAAAGGGTTGCCATTCTTCTTCAGATTTGGAAGGATCTGGCTATTGTAAACCTCATCAGTTTGTCCATCTCTGCCATGTCCAACATTTTTGTAATCCATAGATCTTGAGTGGGAAGTTCTTCTTGTTTCCAATAGTAAGCATAATCAACCCTCGCTGTAGTCACTATATATTAAAAGAGCAGCAGGATTTGTTTTGGGTTTGTTTTTTTTTGTTTTGTTTTGTTTTGTTTTGGTAGAGCTGAATTTGTAAGAAAGTCTTAAAGTTGTACTTTAATTTTTAAGATGTTTTCAATGGTTTTATGAATTATAATCCAGATTTATTTAACCTTTTTGCTTTAGGACATGTCCATCACATGTGGCAAAAGTTCCCTCTTTTTGATGACATTTTCATCAAACGTTTTTTTAAAATTTTGGTTCCGTAGTTGTCATTATTCTTTTTGCTGTTGTTCAATGATTGCCATTCTAGTGACTGAGATTAAATATCTACGAAGAGAGGTATTCTGCAACTGTTCTGTTTGTGTGTTTTTGCATTCCCCTGTCTGATCTATATTCATTTATTCTTTGATGCAAAGACTGGCTTATTTTACCAGAATAGAGTGCTGAAGAGTATTGTTAACAGAGGACAACATGTATTACATTAGATGATAATCAAGTGAAAGTAACTCTAGTGTTGTGAGTGATGTGATTAAGTTC